AGTGTTTCTAATGGTGTGGAAAGTGCAGAGACTAGCAGAGTCTAGCAGGGTTTGTAAAGATCGTTGGCCCCCGTGGTCTTTAAGGCATGATCCTCAGCCCTGGGTCCTGTGGAGGCAACTTCCAGGAGCACTGCTGGCCAGTGAATGGTGGGGAGACACCTCGCTCCAAACCGAATAGCTCTGTCTTCATCCCCTCTACACATTAGGCTTTCCTACTGCTTCAAAGAAAAACAAAGTCTGCAAACTACTGATAGAATCCAACTGTCCACACGATTTTTGAACACCTTCTCTAGACAGATTAATAATAAACTCAGATAAACACATTGGTCTGTGTGGTTCCTGATGTTGTCGAGATCCTCAGGGAGCTACAGTCAAGTGCGTTTAGGTAGTCATGAAGTGACTGGTGTACACGCGAGACCCAGCATTGTGTCTGGAATGAGAACGTTTCGAATATGCTCTTTCCTTTTTGGGGTAAAGCTCATTGGGTATGAAATCTGATGGCCATCATTGCTCAACGTCTTTGTGAAGTGACAATTTGAGGCTTGACTATTGTAACAGCAGGTGGAGCTAGTAGGAAGACCTTGATTTCTAAGCCATTTAAAGAGCAGAAAGATGCACACAACTTACATTCATGTGTGTGCCTTTTAGAGCTGCAGGAATAGCAGGCCATTATACATTGTCTTTGAAAGGGATGGCGCTACTGCACCGCGAGAGCCGAGCTGAATGCAAAGTTCTCTGACCTTTCTGGGGAAGGGGCTTGCATTTGGATATGCGTTGCCATGGAAGATTAACACAAGTTAAGGGCATGTGGGGTAGGGGGGCGGTGGGGGTGTGTTTCCATGGTTTAATATTACTTGATGACTTTTAGAGTATTGACTTCAAAAAATAAGGTGTGTGGTCCTGTGGGAAAATATTGACAAACAACCTGAAAAATATATGTAGTTATTTATGTTATTAGATTGTTTTTCTCTCTCAGTGGCGATAAGCATACAGTTGAAATTCACATTTTCACCTAGGAAAAGCCAAAGAATGTCTACTTTTTATTTCACAAGGTTATGAAATAAAGACCTGGCTACTTAATAGCTCCAAATACCAGTTAGTTTTCTGAATAGGTAGTTTAAAAGATACCACCACTCTTGGGGGGGGGGGGGGGTGCACATCAATTGACTGCCTCCTGCACAACCCCAACTGGGGCTGTGAATTGAACCAGCAACCCAGGTAGGTGCCCTTGACTAAGAATCAAACCCACGACCCTTCTGTTCAAGGGCTGATGCTCTAACTTCTGAGCCAAACCAGCCAGGGCTAAAACACATTTTAAGGCTTTTTGCTGAAAACTAGAAATCATATCTTCTTCTTATTGATTCAGCAAACATTCATGAACGCCTGCTTATGTGTAAGGTAACACGCTAAGCGCTGGGGATGCAGTTTTGGACAATGAACAGTGCTTTCCCTTAGCGTGTCTCAGGCAGATGTGCGGCCAAATCCTACCAAAGGCCCCAGCAGAGTCTGTGACTATCCTGAACAGAGGGCTGTTGGGTCACAGAAAAGGGACTCGGCTGAAAGAAACCAGGGTAGCCCTCGAAGAGGAGGTCAGGCCCTCGTTGCGTCTGGAGGGAGATGTGAAAATCCTCTAGGGGAAAAAGAACGCGCGCTCCAGGCAGCGTGTCTAACATGCACGCGTGTGGAGGCGTGAGAGAGCCGGCTGTCTTGGGGAAACATCGGGAGGTTTGCTAGGGAGGCCTGCCAGGTAGGCTGGGGCTAGCTGTGAAGGGCCGCATCAGATATGCCCTGGTCAGTGAAGACATCATTCAAGAATGCCAACCAGCCTAGATGCTGTGTAATTGATTAGCTTTTGGTGTTCATGACACGAGTTACGGATTTGATCCTGTGGGAACATGGTATGCTGCCTTCAGCTTTAAATATGTTCTCTGGTTACAAGGGTGAATGGATGAGGATGAAACTGCATCCATCCATACCCTGACTGCCCAGGGGGAAATGCTACACGTGCTGATTCCATCCAGTACCTGCGTGTCGAGACACCCCGAGCACTCTGGTAGGTGCTGGGAGACAGGCCTTGCTGCCTACAGTATGTCCAGCTGCCTACCTGACTTTTGCTCTTGGTTGTCTCCAAAACATCGAACACTTAAGTCCAAATCACAGCTCTCATCTCAGCCCCAAATCCTGCCACTGAGGACTCAGGCCAGACCCTAGGGGTTGTTCTTGATACCGTCTTTTTTCTCACCTCATCTACCCCTCCACTGGAGTGGCACACCGGGAAACCTGCCTGGACACCTTCCTCTCCTCCAATCCCCCTGCCAGCACCCCCGCAGCCGCATCTCTTGCTGACAGTCTCCTGACGGGTCTCCCTTCTTACGTTTCGCTTTCTCCCAGTCCTTCTTCATTTTTCCCGGGGAGGGGCTTATTGCCATTAACAGACAGACTCACGGTTGATGTAGTAATAGTATAATGTAGCGATTTTCTTTATTCTAAACGATTTTTTAATTGCTCTCAGATAAAACCTTTGTTCTTGGCGTGATATCCACTACCCTCTTGTTTTACTCAAATTAGAAATCCCAATTAGAAAAATGCACAACTTAATTGTTTGTTTTTATTTGTGTGTATATTTGTTGGTAGATGAAACTATACGTTTTAAAATTTTTTATTTAGTTTTTTTATTGTTGAAAGTATTATAGATGCCCCCCCATTGACCCCCTCCTCCCCGTTCCCACCCTCATCCTGCTTTCCCTAAACTGTTGTCTGTGTCCATTGGTTGTGCAAATATGCATGCAAGTTCTTTGGTTTATCTCTTCCCACTTCCCCACCCCCTTTTTGCAAGGTGTAACAGCCAGGGAGATCTTTCAAAACATCTAAATCAGATCATGTCATTTCCTCATTCATACCTTTTATTTTTTATGGCCTTCCTATTGCAACTTAAATAAAAACCAAATGATTTCCTGAGGTCCACAGGGGCCTGCCTACCTCACCAGCCCCTTCTTGTGTCGCTCTCTCGCTCACTGCGTCCCAACCACAGTGACCTTTTCCCATTTCACCCACTTCTCACCCCACAGCCTGGGCACCTGCTATTCCCACTGCCTGGGATGCTCTTCTTCCCATCCGTTAGCTGGTTGGTATCTTCTCATCATTTAGGCTTTAGCGTAGGTATTACTTGCTCTAAGGGGTCGCTCCTTCACCGGGGTCCACTCTGTGGGAGGGTTCCGGTGACTCTCTCACAACCTCTCGTTTTTCTCTCGGTTTAGAGTTGTGTGTGCCTCTGCAGCTGAGCCGGTGTAAGCATTGTCTCCCCGCTAACCCGGAGCTCCCTTGGGACTGGAGTCGCGTGGTCTCCTTTCCCCTCTGTCTCCAGAGCTTGACACAGTGCCTGGCACACAGTGGGTCCTACAGATGTGTACAAGAATCATTTCAGCACGTTGCGCTGGCCAGTGTGGCTCCATGGTGAGAGTGTCTGCCCTCCCATGGAGGGATCACAATTTCAATTCCAGGTCAAGGGCACATACCTGGGTTGCAGGTCCAAACTCCAGCCCTGGTCTGGGTTCGTGCAGGAGACAGCCAATTGATGTGTCTCTCTCACATTGATGTTCCCCTCTCTCTCTTTCTCCCTCCTCCCACCCCCTCTCTAAAAATCAATGGAAAAAATATCCTCGGGTGAGGAAACACGCACACATACACACACACACAAAGAATCATTTCAACATATAAAAATAAATCGACCTTTTTAGTTTTTAAATCTTTAACTGCAAATAAGAAAAATGTGGGAAATTAAGAAAACTATTTTCTACGTTTTTTTCCACCATTGGAACTATTTTAGGAAGTGTATGCAGCTCTGTATGACCTCCCCAAAAGGAAAAGGGTGAAAGGTTTTAGAAATTAGCACGTGGTTACTGTATGATCTGGGGCTGTTTTTAAGACAGCGATACATCTTTAAACTGGAAATCCTGAGGTATGAAAATGGACTGCTCTTCTTACATATTTAGGGCTCAGGTCACTAAGATGTTGGAATTCTTGGCTCCGCTCTTTAAACCTATTACAAAGATCACATTAGAATTCATTTTAATAGACTTTGTAAGCACAGTATCCAATCTCATATGATCACGCTGGGCTCTTTCATTATGAGAATCACAGGAAGCAGAGCCAAAGGCTGCGGAGCAGGCATCGGTGTCCCAAGGCTGGGCCAGTGCCAGCTCCCTTGTTTATGGAGTATTCTCTCCACTTTTATCTGTGCTGTGCAATTGGTGTTGACTTTTGAGAAACTCCTGCTTTGCCCCCATCTCCCAGTTGGGGAAAAAACAAAAACAAAAACTGTGGTAATGACATCTGGCCGGGAAACAAGGGATCAAAGCAGCAGAAGGAAAGAACAAAGGTGAAGCCTTGTTTCATGCATAGTTTGGGACCCGTGTGTCAGATCTGTTAGAGGGAAGTGTGTTACACTTTTTTGGGGTCACCATTCCTTTATCCCCTGGAAATGCCCATCAACTGAAACTGTTTATTTTTTTTGCCATTGCCTGCTGGTGTTGGGCCTACTTAGCATTGAGCAAAATGTGTGTGTGTGTGTGTTTTTAATATTCACCCTGAGGATATTTTTCCATTTATCTTCAGATAGAGTGGGAACGAGGGGGGAGGGGGGGGAGAGAGAGAGAGAGAGAGAGAGAGCGAGAGAGAGAGAAAGGGAGAAAGAGAGAGAAAAACATTGACGTCGACTGGTTGCCTCCCACACGACCCCAACCAGGGCTGAGGATGAACCGCAACCGAGGTATGTGCCAGAATCGAACCTGCGACTCATTGGTCTGGGGGTCTGCACTCTAACCGCTGAGCCTAACCGGCCAGGGCCAGCAAAATGTCTTTTTGACTTGATAGGTCTTTAGGAATAAATGCTGTTCATCCAAATTAAGGTAAAATCTGTGATATTATTATGTTTCATTTGTGTTTTGTTTTTTCTTGAAGAAGGAGGCAGTCATTTTTGGAAACTTTCCCCCAACTTGTAGGTATAGCACTTGAGGAGTTTCTAAGCATTGTGAGGAGGAAGAAGGAAGCTCAGCTGTACTGGAATGAAATGAGACACATCTTCACAGCTTTTGACAGGCACTGTAAGTCTCTTTAAAGTGTTTTGAAATTAAAAATTGCTATTAAAGAAGCTGTGAATTGGAGCATATACTCAGTACATCAAATAAATAAGCTTGGAAGTTTATTATATTGTTCATTAGCTATCACCTTAGATGTTGGTGTGGATTTTTTTCCTCCATCATGATTTTAAATTTTTGACGTTTACCCTGGATGAAATAATGTTAATAGTTTTATAATTGTACTTACGATTATAATCAGGACAACCAAAGGGCTGGCCACGTAGGGTATAGGTCATGAGCCACCTGTGGATCTGTGGTGTCTCCTCCTGCGCTGGCCCACACATTACTGGAGGAATTGTTTTCCCACACCAGATGTGGCTGAGCGGAGTGACCTCAGACCCCCTGTACCCCACGCATCTTACACAGGATGAAAATGCTCTGGAGTCCAGGTTCAATATATTGGTGGCTGTTATGGTTATCCTCTCAATATGATTATAGTATAGTTCTAAAACCAAGCTAGAAGAAAAGTACATTTTGAAGACTACATTGTTTTGGCAATTTACGACGACTTGAAGCCAAAGGCTGTGATTGCAGTGTGCCTCTCTATGGTCCTTCCCCTGGGGCTCAGAGAATCCGCGATTGATAGGGCTGGAAGTGGCCTTCCGGACCACCCGGGACCGCACCAAAGGGGCGTGTCGCTGGATCCTTAATTCTTCCTCTGAGCCAATCTCAGATTGCCTCACCTGTAAAATCAACCACAAATTACTGCTCTTCTCCTAATATGTTAAAAGTGTCACGCAAGTTTTATGGCTGAAATAACAGTGCATAGGGTTAATAAAGGTAAGTGAACATTTTACATTTTGTTTTCAAATAGATCGTGGATATTTAACCTTGGAAGATTTCCAAAAAGCATTCAAACAGGTGGCTCCCAAGTTACCAGAAAGGATTGTTCTCGAGGTTTTCAGGTAAGGCACCAAGATCTTCATGTCCACTTTTACGAGTTTTCAGCTTTATGGAAAACACCTCTTTATGCTGACTTTTCACTAACGATCATTTTCATCTCACAGTATATTGTCATGATCCAGGAGAGAAATTATTTATAGTTAGCTATTAATGCACCGATACCCTCGATAGCAGGTGGGTGTTTGCCCACCTGGGAGGTGCCTAAGAACATTTGGTAGGGGTGGGAGAGGAACAGGAAGAAAGTAGAACTTATTTGTGTATTTATGTATCAACCCGATACCAGGCAGCTTTAGCATTTAACGTGGATGCCGGTGTTCTCCCGTGGGCTGCATTTCGTCAGACGCAGCCCACTCGCGGTTCTTGAGTTGTCGGAGAGCAGAGTTGGCGTTGCTTCTTGGTGGCCCCTCATCCCAGTGCGTGTGTGCCTGATAGAGTGTTGTCTTTACGAACTCATGCGGACACAATGGGCACGTGGCTTCAAAGCAGTTTCTGTTAGTAAACTGCAGACTGAAGGTCACGGGCTGACAACGAGGACATGGTGGAGCTGCCTCTTCTCTGACCGCTCATGTGAGCTCTTCATCAGCCTGTCACCAGGTGGGTTAGTGAGGACTCCGTGCAGCAGCAGGAGCCAGCAAACCCTTAATAACGCAGCTGAGGAGAGACAGCGATGTGCTTCTCTCTGTCGTAAACATGGGCAGTCCAGGGCCGATGTGATGGCAACAGAATTGTGAAGGACCAGGTTCCCTTTTTCTTGTTGTTCTGGCTGCCTCCACACCTGACTCCTCCCTCTTGCTTCAAGGACTGCTGACATTTCAGCCATCGGACTTGGGTTCCAGCGAGGCAGGAGGAAAGGGAACAGAAGGTATGTCCCTGTGACCAACACTGAGTTCCAGGGCCATGTGGACAATGTCTTCATGTGCCCTGAGTTTCTGACACTGAAGGAGAGAATGGACATTGAGGGGGGGGCATCTGGCAGGTGTTCCCATTTGGGATAAAAATAATTTAATGAAATCTGACCAGAAGTCAGCCCTGCCCATTAGAAATTATCAAGTAGGTTGTTGGAAATAGGATTTGCACTCACTGTTATTGACAGTGACATGTATGAAATTCTCTTGCTGCGTCAGTCACAAGCCAGTCATGCAAACTCCTGAAGGAGAGCGAAGCAGTTAAAGGCACATGCAGACAGCGCCACAGGACAGCATTGCTTAGTTGACTGTGGAACCCCAAGTTCTTTAAACCATAATAGCATCTTTGTACACTCCGTGATGAGATGAGTAATGAATGTCAGTGTATTTCTACCACACGGGTGATTTTAACAAAAGAACAAAGAATTGTTACTTTATTTTCCTTTTACTAAAAGACACGTGTCCAAATTTGCTGACCTTTAAGTGTTAAGTCATTTCAGGAGGAGCTACCTCATAGACATTTCTGAACATTGCACTTAAATATAGCCCTTCACGATAGAGGAAATGTTTTAACCACGAGTGAGCAAGTATCTGCTTCTCCAAAGGAACCTGTGCTACCCAGAGAACATTTTTTGGAAATGGGTACTTGGAAATGTGATTAATAATAATAATGCATGTCACCTATTAAAACCTTTCACATCTGCATGTTTAATAAGTTGAAAATGGAATGTCCTAATCTGGCGAAAAAGAAAATCTTACAAAGTTTCATTGGTTTTAGAACACAGTTTTTAAAATTAAAAATTTGATAGCTTTCGAGAGCAACAAATGTCAGGAAAGATGAGCATTTACTTGCTGAATGTCAGTTAGCAGTAACAAAATAATTTTTTAAAAAAATCTAAACCTTTTCCTTATCGGGGGATGAAATAAAAAACCGAGGGACTCTGTGCCATGATGCCCCTTCCCCATTCATATCTGCATATCTTCCCTGAGATTCTCTGACAACCATTCACATCAAGTATTAAAAAAAATTGCTCAATCACAAAGGACTAAACTGAGATGTTCAGAAATAATAAAGTATATTAAATCATGTTCTTGATAAATATGAATAATTTCTGGTGACAGCGGAAAGTCATTTGACATTAACATATAAAATATTTGCATCTTCAATTCTTTAGAATGTCTACATTATGTTTTACAATGTACATAATATAGTAACACAGTAGCACATGCACATATAACCTATAAATAAATGTATTCATAGGCCCACACACTTTATGTTTCCCAGGATTATGTGATCAAAGCAGTTTGGGGACCACTGCAACACACAGCCAAACAAGGCATTTTAATTCATGGAATATGCCCTGTTTAAACTCTCCTTTGTGTTACTTTTTATAGCACTATGATCCCTACGCCAGAATAAATGATGCATAAGTATTAAATGAAGTCATGAAACCAAAAGAGGAGAGAAAAATATTTCCTCCAAATGTAAATCAGAGCAAGCTAAAGAAAAGGGGTGTCTAGCTTGTACATATCTATCTGTTTCGGTGGTGCAAACAATGTTCAAGGATAAGGAAAAGAAAACCAATGATGCAAGATTACATAATATTTCTAAGATGAGACACTTGCTTTTTGAGAAGCTGGTATCTGAAGACCACTAAAAGAAGGCAACTTAGAGGGAGACTTCTAATTACAGCAGAGTCATCTGCTTTTTTTTTTAAAAAAAATATGTTTTTATTGATTTTTTTTTTAGAGAAAGAGGAAGGGGGGTGAGAGAGAGAGAGAGAGAGAGAGAGAGAGAGAGAGAGAGAAACACCTATGTGAGAGAGAGACATCGATCAGCTGCCTCCTGCACGCCCCCTACTGGATATCAAGCCCGCAACCCGCAACCTGGGCATGTGCCCTGACTGGGATTGGAACCAGGACCTCTCAGTCCATGGGACAATGCTCACTCCACTGAGCCACACCAGCCAGGCTCATCTGTGCTTTTAACGACTGGAGCAGTTTTCATAATCTTCACTTCATTGATTGCCAGATTCTTCTCAAAGAAACTTCTAAAGATTACGAGCAGTCTCTTTCAGAAGGACTTGCCCATATCATTTTACGAGCTAAACCAACAAAGCACAGCAATAAAGCCAACCAAACAACCAAATGAACAATTCATAAAGACAGTCTTGAGCATAAGGCATCAGAGAATCATTTCACTTTATAACTTGATAGAAACACTGATGTGTCATTGATTAAACCTGAGGGCATTCCAAGGACCAAATGAGAGACTTTTATAAGGTTTGTGAAGTGTTGCCTAACTACTCTGGTTTTATCTCAGTGATTTTTATCATGAATAAAAGCAGTATCTTTTTAAATATATATAGTCAGGGTTCATAACAGTCACATTCTGTTCTGCAATCATAATTTCTTTCATTTTAATGTTACTTCTATAGTTAAATGGATTCAGAGCTCACCTCCAGGCCTTGTGCCATCATTTCTGTTCAGCTGAAGTTAATCCTCTAATAGAGATCATACGTACTATCTTCCCTGGTGTCTTTCATGTTTAAAAATGTTTATCTGGGCCATTGTCCTTGAATAAAAGTATATAACTTTTTCTCGTCACTTTCTCTTTATTTCTTTTGTCATTTGGTAACCATTTATTTATTTATTTCAAATTTATTTTTATTATTTTGTTTTGGTATGTGCCCCTAGCGGGAACTGAACCCGGGACTCTCTGGTCCGCAGGCTGACGCTCCAACCGCTGAGCCAAACCAGTCAGGGCTGTTTTTATTATTGAAAGTATTATAGCTGTTCCCCGTTTATCCCCCCATTGACCTCCTCCTCCCACCCCCCCCTTCACCACACTGTCATTGGTTATGTAACATTTTTTCCATCAGTTTGTTTTTCTTTGCTTCTCTTGGAAGTCCTGTTTCATTTCCTTGTTTTGCTTGCATCTCTTCGTAAATCTTCAGCAATGTCCATTCTCCCTTGTGCTGCATCCAGTATGGCACTCCCCCTACCCCCGCGCCACGATTTATTTTTTGCTTACATTTCTTTCTTGAACTGTATCTGCTGATGTTTCATTTCCTTTTGTTATTTTGCTATTTTATATCTCCCCTAAGCTTTTCTGTATCTACTTTCAATTCTTGTTTTATGGAGGTGCTGGCTTTATTGGGAGAAACAATGAGTTTTGAGATTTTATTTTTAATGGATGATTGCTTGGGGGCTGCTATTATAGCTTTTTAAGTATAAATTAAGGAGAACAAGTTTTCTACTGAAGGAAGGGTTTTTGGGAACAAGTTACTTTCTTAAACCAAGAGATAATGATATCTTGTGTGAAAAACAAAAACAAAAATTGGTACTAGTTTATTATTTCTAAGACATAAAATGTTTAATATTTAGACTTCAAAATTTGAGATTCCTTTCAGTGTTTACAACATAATTTCCACTTGGAGCTGATAATCATGATTTGTATATTTGTGTTCTAAAATAACTGAGTTGTTTGTGTAACTAAAATGACATATTTTTACCTACCACAAATGGCAGAAGTTCAAGAGGTACGAGAACTGATAATACTGTTTATACAATAGAATTAATGTGAGATGATAGGCTGTTTCTAGCACAAAAAGTTTAAAACAAACAAACAAAAATCCCTTTAGTGCTTTTTTTTTTTTTTTTAATTCAAACTCTTTAGTGACTCTATTGGGTCAAGTTAAAAGTATTTAACCTGGCTGTCCGACATCTGGTCACCTTTCTAAACTCCTGTGTTTTCCTTGGCCATGTGCTCGTACCTTTGAATGTGTGACGTGTATTTAAACTTGACCCTATTTCCCTTCCGTCAGTGCCTTTTCTTTACTCCTTACCTGTCCAAGTGAGACCCATCTTTTCAAGGTTCTGCCCAATGAAACCTTTTTCCCCTCTTTATGTTGAACATTCTTGTCTCCTTTCTCTAAATTTTGATTGTGCTTATGGTTGTGTAATTTTTTTTTTCTAATCACTTACCTGATAAAAAAAAAAATACAGTGGTTAGTGTGGCTCAGTGGTTGAGCGTTGACCCATGCACCAAGAGGTCACCAGTTCAATTCCCGGTCAGGATACATGCCCAGGTTGTGGGCCTGATCCCCAGTAGGGGGCGTGCAGGAGGTGGCCAACAGATGTTCTTTCACATCGATGTTTTTATCTCTCTCTCCCTCTCACCTCCTCTCTCTCTGTCTCTGAAATCAGTAGAGAAAAAAAACTTGCCCTGGCTAGTTTGGCTCAGCGGTTAGAGCGTCAGCCTGCAGTCCAGAGAGACCCGAGTTCGGTTCCTGCTAAGGGCATGTACCTCGGTTGCAGTTTGTCCCCAGCCCTGGTTGGGTCGTGCAGGAGGCAGCCACTTGATGTGTCCCTTTCATGTCGACGTTTCTCTCTCTCTCCCTCCCACTCTAAAAAAAAAAAAAAAAATACAGTGGTTAGGTTATCTCCATAAATGACTACAATCTCCTTAAATTTCTGAGTTTATCTACACCTTCCACTGTTCCCAGCCTATTGCTTTAGGCGTCCCAGTTACTTAGTAAATAAGGGTTGGTGCACTGTCACTCGAAATACCCAGTGACAGTAAAATTCTCATGTAGAATTTCCTTTCTGGATTAATTGGCTTCTTATAAACCAAGAGAGAGGACATGAAGATGCAGTCAGGAGCTTTATAACCACATGTGGCTTTGCTTTTCACTTTTCTCTTTTTATGTGTGATTTTCATATGCTCATTGCTGATGGCCCCCTTTTGCTTTATTTTGGGGACATTTCCCACTCGTGATTTAGCCTCTGCTGTCAGCAGGAAGCTGGCTTCATGTTTTTCTTGACTTTGCCCTCCAGCAGCACCCTTTTGGTATCCTGGCTGGCATTTTTCTCTGCATGGATGTTTGTTTTTCCACACCCAGGAGCCTTCTCCGTCACATCGTAAGCACCGAGATGTGCACGTTCCCACCACCCATCCACTGGCAGAAAGCTCTGGGAATCTTCTGCTTCCAGCCATGAGATGAAACGTGGGTGTGCGGAGAGCCCGCTCCCTGACCTGCCGAGCGAGGTTCTGGGCGCACAGGCGGATTGTCAGATACCCAGGCCATGTGGAAATACCGAGGCACCGCGTGCCCTCCGGTTATGACAGGAGACATTCCAAGTTGTAGCTGACATTTTTGGTGTAAGAATTCCACTCTTCATGTTACACGGGAAAGGTCAAAACACACAGAACATACACTTCTCCTTTTTGGGGTATTAAAAATTGGTGGAGAGCCCTGGCCGGTTTGGCTCAGCGGTTGGAGCGTCGGCCTGTGGTCCAGAGAGACCCGGGTTCGGTTCCCACTAAGGGCGCGT